CAATGAATGAAAAACCTGCAAGTTATGGTTTGGTGCCTAAAAAGCAGCATGGTGCATGCATGCATCATGTCACCTGGCCAGCAAGAATGAAGTATGCTTTTAGCATCAGGAATGGGGTGTATAAGACAGTCTCAGGAGTTTCCCAGGAGGCAGTTTATCTCTAGGACAGCAATGCAGTCAGATCCTACTTCCTCTCCTCCTTTGAATAAGCATTTTAGGGAAAGTATTATCTTTTTATCTTGTTATTTGCACCATACTTATGTGTTAAGTTCTATATAATTGATAACAGATCAAAAGTTTAATATTTGTCCTTCTAAATCAATTTACCTATGGCTCTTTATACTCAGTCCCTATTTTGGTACATAATTTGAACATAATTGTGGATTTAGTTATGCATTGTGAAATACCACATTATAATCAAAGCTAGCAAAATATGGACCACAATATGCAGATTCTTTAGGAACTATAACTGCTTCTACTTGATGTTGGTTGGAATCTATTTAGAACAGAAGGGAAACTAAGAATGGAAGTTAAAGAAAGCAACATGCTGATGAGAAAACCAAGTTAAGGAATCACCAAAGTTTACTTACGGAAGGTCACCAGATTGACCCAATGTCAGTTTAAAGAATAGATTTATTTCCTTGTTTTGTTGTTGTAAAAGACATTACCAGGCATTTAAGAAAGTTTTAATAAGCTACTGTCATTCTTGAAATAACTATATATTGTGATAGATTGTATGCAAAGATCATCATAGTTCTGGCCACTCCTGAAAATGAGTCCTACTCCTTTGCATGTGACTTTGCTGCTCCTCCCTTGATCAAGAGGGTAAGGCTAGCTCCCTAGTTCCTGGATCTGTGCTGGCCTTTTGACCTGCTTTGACTAATAGCATGTGGTGGACGTGATGTTATGTAACTTCTAAGCTTAGGCCTCAAGGGGGTCTTGCAGCTCCTACTCTACTGGCTTAGCATGCCGCCATCACAGGAGGAAACCCAAACTGTCCTCCTGAAGGATGAAAGGCTACATGGAGAAAGGTCCAGTCATCACTCAACACTAGCTCCCAGCCATGTGAGTGCACTGAGTCATGCTGCCAGATGACTCTAGCAACTGCGTGAGTCCAAACAAGGCTAGCCTGAATTAATGATCTAAAGAATTAAGAGCATATACAATAGCTTTAAGCTAGTAATTATGGTTTGTTATGCAGCAATATGTATACACAGATACATACATATTCACATATACATATATATGTATATGTGTATATGATAATGTTCTCTCACTTTAAGAATGAGAGAGTAACTTTAAACTATGAAATAGACCTAAGGTTAATCATTACAATGTAGTTCCAGACTTTTAAAAACTAAAAAATAATGCTAGTTGGGTGTGGTGGTATGTGCCTTTAATTCCAGCGTTCAGGAGGCTGAGATAGGAGGATATGAGTTTAAGGCTATCCTAAGCTACACAGTAAGATCCTGTCTCAAACAAAAACCAAACCAACCAAACCAAAAACCAAAAACAAGCAATGTGTTTCCTAGGTTGCTTCAGGAATGAAAGCAAGCAGATTTTTCTGGGATGGTTTGTGCATATTGTTTTCAGAGGTAGGGTGATAACTGTAATGATGCCCGAAGTCTCTCAAAACTCTTTCAATTAAATTCTTGTGACTTAGCAACTCCATTCTCCACTTTATGAACTTGTCATTGAGTTCATGCAGAATAGAATAGCAAACCCTCATCAATGTTAGTAGGATTAAATGGGTTAACACTCCGATCTTAAAACATCATTAACTACTGAATACATCTTAGGTATCAGTATTGCCATTATGCTATAGTAGGGAGTTTACATGAGTCCTGAGCTCAGTTCTGTTACTGATGTAGAGCATATCATTTAATCTGTTTTCTCAGCTATAAAGTAGTTTCTAGATTAAATTCCACAGTTTATTTGCATCTTTAAATTTCTAATGATTCAGTGTTGATATTTTTTTACCCATAGGTACATTTCAGTCTTCCAACTTTTCAAAGATTGTCTAAAACTTACTTGGTTAGCAAGCAATTTTGAGAACCCTCTCCTAATGTCCATTTGGAACTGGAGGAGTGTTATAACATTTATTCAGTTTTTTTTTAAACCCATACCTGGTTAGCTAGTATTTATAACTCACCTACCGAGATAAGCTTTTTCTAGGTTTATGGGAATGGATATTAATTTTAAACCTGTGATAAAATATACTTATGTAAAAGTAGGAAAGAGATCTGAAATGAAAAATATTTCACCTCAAATTTCACCAGTATCTCCAAATTGATATTTTTGTTTCAGGTATTTCTTCCACTGAATTGACATTTATAATGTGTATTTAATTTTATATCTTCCTTTTCTGCTTTATTTTTCTATGCTGTTTTCTCATTACTACAGCCTTCTACTGACTTAACTTTTCTGCTTATTAAAGTTTTATATGCTTAATTCAGAAAATTTTCAGTGTACAAAAGCATAAAGAAAATAAACATTATATGTAATTCCACTTAGTATCACATTTCAAAAATACTTCTCATTTTTGTAGGTTAAGCATATCCCATACAACTAAATATTATACAAAATATGATTTTTGTTGGCTGCATAACAAATATCATCATACAGAAGTAATCATAATTTGTTGCACATTGGCTTATGATCTGTGTCATTATACTTCAGGTTAACGTTGGGTGCTGCTTCTTCACAATGGGATAGATAAATAAGATCGTACAAAGTACTTATATTGCTGGGTAGTGAGAGTGGTTCATTTTCCTAGCCCTTTCTTGTCGACCCCACAATCAAGCTGCTACAAACCCCCAAGACCTATGCAAAAGGCCCATTCAACATTTTTACAGTGATAACTGTATTCATTTACAAACCTGCCATTGGATTTTGAAAATAAATTTGGGGGCTACTCTTTCTTTTCCCTAACATGGAGCCTACCTACTGAACTTTACAACTTAAGGATCCGGCAGGCAAGCTGGCACCTTAAGTTGGACAACTGCAAGGTTTCCAGTGACCTTAGTGAGGGGTTGGTAGATAACGGGGCGAATGGGCAGAAATGCCGCCTGGACCAGAGAAGGAGGTGAGAAGCTCCCTGCCAGAGCAGCAGCCTGGGTCTGCAGAGCTGACCCATGGATCTGCGGATCTGCGTATCTGCGGGGATTTTCCGAGCTGCGGCTGCAGAGAGGAGGGAAAGTGCGCGCTGGCCACGTGACCCAACTTCACTTTCGAGTTGCAACAACAGAGCGCTGCGGGAATAAAAAACCCATCTGCTGCCAGAGACAGTGTTCCTAACGGTCTGACGAAGACCCCACCCCGCCCCGTGTTCCCAAGTTCCAGCAGGCGCACTTCCAAAAATGCTGGCAAGAAAAAAAAGCAGAAGTTAGACTTTTGCCATTGTTGAGCGCAGTGACAGCCCTTTAGGATCACACACTGTCAGCCCCTTCCTAGTTTTCTCCCGATGGCGTCCCGCTGGAGAATCGCGTAAGCAACAGCTTGAACGCCGAACAGCCCGAGCCCCAGTACGGACGCGCACCGCGGGGCTCACACCTCCCGGCCTGGGCTTCGGCTGTCGGCGTCGCGCGTCCGAGCAGCCGGCCCCGGGAATCCGGCCGCGTCCCCGCGCGTCGCCTCCCCACACCCTGGGGGGGGGAAAGGGGTGGTGGTGGTGGTGGGGGAAGCGAAGGTGCCGCCGGGCGCATGCGCGCGGCGCTGCCGGGCGTGCCGGCCACACTCCCCCCACCCACTCCGTGAGCTTGTCACTTCCTGCCCTCGCCCCATCTCCGTCCGGGGTCAGTCAGTCGCTCCCTGTCGCTGCCGGAGCCTCTCTGCTTCCCCCTTCCTACCCGCTTCGCGGCGGACGCTCGAGCTTTCCGGGGAGGGGGCGACAGAGAAAGAGAGGGGCTGACTTAATAAAGTTTCCTGAAACATCTACTACCAGAAAAAAGACCCACGGTGGGGGGATCCCCCCATTCTTCCCCGCCCCTCTCCAAAGCCAGACGGACCGTTGCAGGTGGAGCGGCGCAGAGGGGAGCCGGGCTGCGGCGGCCGCCGTTGCCCTGGCGAGGGGCGCCTGGGTTCCTGCCTGCTCCGGTTCCGGCTCCTTCGGCGGCGGCGGCGGCGTCTGCAGCCAGGCGGTTCCTCCTGTCAACTGCCTGCACCCGCGCGCCGCCCGCCCGCCCGCCAGCCCGGCCCCACAGCGCGGAGGGACGCCGTGAGCCGCCGCCGCCGCCGCCGCCGCCGTCGCCCCGGTCCGCGGAGGGACGTGGTGAGCTGCGGCGCTTCCGCGTCAGCGTCGGCGGGGACTCTTTGGGAGCGCGTCGGGCCGAGCCCAGCTCCTTTTGGCGTGGTGCGCGGAGGCTGCGCCAGGTGGGGCCCGCGGCTTGCCGGCCCGTCTCAGGAGTTAAGTAAGTTGGGCGCACTTCGTGGTGGGGACCCCCACCCCCAACGCACGTGCGCGGCGGGAGGGCGCCGCACCTCGGGCGCCCCGGAGCCTGGCTGTGCCCGCCGCGCCACGCCGCGCCGCTCCCCGCGCCGGCCTCTCCGCGCGCCCGTCACGTCCGCACCGCTCCCTCGCTCCTTCTGGCCGGCGAGGCCGCGGGTCCGCCCGCGTAGCGTTGCCCGGCCTTCGCCGTGCGCCGCGCTCCGCTTTGCGCGCCCCGGGCTGCGTTTCCGGGTAGGGCGACGAACCTGTGCGGGGAGCTCGGGCCCGAGACGCGTTCGGCGTCTGTTTCCTTTGTCGAGGGGGAGCGCGGAGGGCGCGCGGTGGGGAGGGGAAGCCTGGACTGCAGCCGGCCCAGAGTCCCCCATCCTCCCGGGGAAGTTGCGGGGGGAGTGACAGCGGTTTGTGCCTCTCTCCTAACACCGAGCCGCGATGAAGAGCTGCCTCCCTAGTGAAAGGAAAGTAAGGTCGCCCCCACTGAAAAAATGCCTCTGAGGGACCAAGTACTGTCAGACGGACCACCATTCACGCAATCGCTTGCTTGGCGAAGCCAGGTATGGGCGGCCCTCCCTCCGCTACGCCTGGGCAGTCGGGCAGTCATGCCTGTACCAAAGAGGGTGTAATTTTTCCCCGGGCAGCCAAACACTTAGGAAGCCAAAAGCTGTACAAACAAGAAAGGGCTCCCCTCCCAATCCCCTAGAAAGCCCCGCGGGCGCACCCTCCGTCCTGTCCACGGGGCGGTCCGGCCACCCACCCCATCCCTACTCCAGGTGCCCCGCGCTCCGCCCGCGCTCAGCCTGCAGGGAGGGAAGGGCAGAGACAGGTGTGTGTAGCGCGCTGGCTGTTGGCTTCATGGGAATCGTTAAACTTCAACTTGAAACCTAAGAGTTGCTCTTGCATTTTTGTGGTATAGTGTTGACAGCCTAGAAATGAGTTGAGTTTGGGTTAAGAAGGTTTAGGAAGGTTGGTTGGACTTGTGGGGAGAATCAGGTTTTGCTAATTGAAACAAAAACCTTAAATTTTTTTTTCTTGTAAGGCGCTTACTGTATTGCAAAGTAGAAAAACCTTTTGATTGTTTAGATAGAATGTGTTTTTGAGATACCTTCAGTAGAACTGTTGTTTTTTCAATTGAAATTATGAAGTGAAAAAGTGATTTGGGGAGTCTCTTGAAGAATATTAGCAACACATTAATTTTAATGTATTTTTGAACTATTGACAAGTTCTTAGAATTTTGATGTACTTTGTGACATTTAAAGGAATAACTTAAAATGGAATCATTGAGCACATGCTGTCACTGAAGTAAAGGCTATTCTACTTCCAAGGCAGGTGTTTATCATTGTTTTTGACCTAAAAGCTATTAGGATTTTTTTCGTACTTTTTCTTGCTTTTTGTTGGAGTATTTTAACTTGGTTTTTTATTATGATAGAGCTCATTTTAAATGATTTTAGTGGGAAAAATGCACTGGTGAAGGGGAAGAGCTTCTGTGTCCAAAAATCTTTGAGTTTTTTCACATGAGAAGAGCGTTTGTACTACAGCCCATGGGTACTGCATTTTGTTGGGATCAGTAATAACCCACCTGTTCTAATAAAACAGGCAGGCCCTGGGATCCAGTTTCAATTGTCCCTGACCCATCTAACTTTCAGTACCCTTTCACACCTGCACATTTTGAAGTGAAGGTATATTGCTTATGTTTTATGGAGCTGAATGGATTTGCTTATTCATTTCTTTAACAAATTGTTATTGAGCACCTATTAGGAGCTAGGCACTGCCCATGGCAATGGGAATATAAATGATGAAAAAGACAAATAATAGGCCCTTCCCCCATAAAGCTTTTGATTAGGAAGAGATAAACAAGTAAATAAGAAATTTGTAAACAAGTAAATAAGATATGTTGGTAATTAAAAGTTCTCTTAAAGAGTTTTCATGCCCTTTTATAGATGCTTTCTGATATTTGACTTTTTAATGTGCATTGGAACTTTTTTTTATTTTTTCTGTTTTAGTAACAAGAAATAAGACAAATTGCCTTAATTTAAAATTTTCATCTTTTACTAGAAACTTTTTATGCAGGTTAATTTTCAGATTTATCAGATTAAAAGTAGTTATGATTCATATTATTATAATTTGCTTTTTGAGGTAAAATTAAACACATCCTGAGTAGTTCCATGGCAAGCTAGAAGTTTGTTATCTTTCTGGGTAGTTCGTTGTCATGGCAGGTGAAGGTGTGTGCTGAGGGGGAACATATTTCTAGGATTGAAAGAAATGTTACAGTGTGATAGTGTTTAAGAGGGTATCCTCAGATTGAGGGAGGGAGGTGACATGCTGTCTGAAAGTCTTTAAAGGGCCCTCCTGAGCTGGCTGTCTTGATTTGGATTATGAACGGTGGGTAAGTCCTCAGATGAGAACAGTATTCCTGAGGAGACCATTATGCTTTGATGGGATGGATCCAGTTTACAGTGATGGGTAGTATTACAAGCCTGTGGTATATGTAAAGCACTTTATTAGTTATGTCTTAAGTATTTTTTAAATGGAAAATTTCAGACCTTCAAAATACAGAGAATGGTGTAGGGAATCTGATGTAATCACCACAAAACTTCATCAGTTATCAGTAATACATGGACAGATTCTTTTCGTCTGTGTTCTCTCTTTCCCCAACAATTCCCTTCTCTACCATCCAGCTACTCTTCACTCCTTATTTTTTTCAACAGGAATCCCAGACATTAATCATAATTAGAAGACCTTTAAGGAGCTTATTGTAAGACAGGAGAGACTTGCAGAAATGGACATTATACTTGGGAAGTGTGTTCTTGGAAGGATGTAAAAAAAAATGTTATGAGGGTTTGGGTTTTTTGGTTGGAGGGAGATTTTTTTTTAATGGTCACACCTTGGATGGGTCTGATCTTGGGAGGAAATTTAATAAGGTATTAATATATAAAGGTTTCTAGAGTTGAGAATATGTTACAAATGAACAAAGAATTGTTTCTTAAAGTGGGAGCTACACAGATGTTCATACCAAGTGGATATGTCCAGGCACAGCTAAGTTAACCCTGGGCTTACTTTGAATGTTGTCTCAGGATGTATATATGTTGTAGTAGTAGTGTTCTGAGGGCAATAGGTAAGGAACTTTGTTCTACCTTAATAAATCAGGTATTGATATGTGGAAGTGGAAGAAGCCTGGAGCTTGTACCTAAATGGGGAAATGGGCGTCTAAAGCAAAGTCTTCTTTTTTTTCCTCATATCTTTCCCTTACTTATCGTTTTCTATCTTTTTTCTTTCTCCAATTCTAGAATTCTTATAAGAGCCAGACCTTGAAGTGTTCTTTACAGTTGGTTAGGTTTTCACTCTCTCTTTTGTAGTTGATTGTTCTTGCTTATAAGAACAATCATATGGCTTATCAGTGCCATAATGTACAAGTACTAAAACACAGACTTACCTAATTCAGATAGACAATATCATTCTGTTTGTAAACCTCTGCTGTTGTTTCTCTGAGAGGTTGAATTCTTAGATTTTGTGAAAGATTTTTCTGTTTCTGGTATCAGGAAAGCAGTTGACTTGGATAGGATGATGCTGTTGTTCTTGTTGCTAGAGTATTTTTTGAGCACTTGCTGGATTTCAGGCTCTGTTTTAAGCAGTTTGCTTCATTATCTCATTTAATCCTGATATAATTCTATGATTTAGGTACTTGTTTCATCTATATTTTAGAGGAAAGAGAGATCTGAGAGTTACTTTGCCCTAGTAATAGTAGTAAATGGCATAATAAGAGTTTAAATGCAGGCAGTCCATATCTGGAATCTTAGGTTCTTTGTCACTGCAGTTATTGCCAGTGTCAGATGTTCTCAAAATGAGTTGTGTGTATGTTTTAAATTCATTTAAAATACCCTTGAAGTGTCTCTTCAAATTGGGAATATTTTGCTTGATGAAATGACTTGGTCTTGAGACATAATTCCTCCTGTTTGTGTACATTGAACACTTGACTTGAAGCATAAAAGAGAATCTAAGGCTTCATCTATATGCATAGTGCAGCAGGCTTCAGTTCCTTTATCAAAAAGCTAATTGCTATCCAAGCCTAAGCCCTAAAGTAGTAGTGGCATATATTAATTGAAGTAACTCTTCTTATCTCCCCACCCTGAGAAGGTCCTGGGTTAGGATGGTAATAGTCAAGTAGAACATTGTATAGCATGTTAAAAAAAGATAATTAAAATGACCAGTTTTTGTCCATTACAACTTTCTGTCTTCATTTGATAACTGTTGGAAAAACTCAATTTTCTTTTGCTATTAGCTCCCTTGTTTCATATAACCTAATTATAGATTTATACTGCTAACCTGAGAATTTTGAAAGGGAGAGGTGATAGAGACTCCATTATATGAAAATGAAAAGTTTTAGTTTTAAAATGGAAAATAAAAATGTTGCTTTTAAAATGCACATTTCCAAAAGCTTAGGCTCCAAAGTAATAGTGAAGCATGGGGCAGAAAGTGAACATCATCTCTGTAAACCTACCCTGACAGAACCTTTGCTAAATTTTTGATATTCCTCCAAGAGTGTTTTTCTGTTTATATTAGCATCATTGCATATACCCAAATACTCTAAATTCCTATTTTTCATATATCTAAATATGTATTAATGTAGATGAGATCACATTGTATACTCTTCTTGTTGCTTAATAATTATCCTTTGTTGTCAGCATATGTAGATCTGGCTCATTCTTGTGGTCATGAGACTGTCTGATATGTTGGTATTTCATAGTTTTAGTCTGGTCTCTATTAAGAAGCCTTTTAAGTTCTTTGAAATTTCTGTCAATTATATATACTACAGAGTGCTGCAGTGAACATTCTTGCACATCTATCAATTGTGCACTTATCCAGCTCCTTTTAGGCAGTAGGTTTTGAGTTTTGCTCTCATAATTGTCTGGAGAGCTACTCTAGATTATCCAAAGGCTTTTCGAATGAATGGTTTATTGGGTGTGGTGAGGTCACCATTGCCTTAGAATTTTTGTTAAAATATAGCTGTCCCCCTTAAGGGGAATAAAAAGGCAAATATGATGTATACTAACTGGCACCAAAATAGTAAAGTCTTTGCAGTTAAACCTAATATCTAGCCTTAAGTAGCCTTAATTTAGCCTTTGAGAATTATTGTAGTTTTTTCCCCCTCTGTTGTTTCATTTTGCCTCATAAAGATTATGATAAAATTTGCAGATGTAAATATATGCAATTGTGATTATCATAATTAACATAATTGTAGCAAAACATTGTTTTACTTCAATAGTAAATTATTTAAATAACTCTTTTTTGTGGGGACTGGGGTGGGTGTTTGTCTTCCATGTAGTTTATATCCTGGAGCCTGGAGATCCTCCTTTGTTACAGCAACCACTACAGACATCCAAATCTGGTATTCAACAAATAATTGAGTGCTTTCGATCAGGTATGAATGTTTTAGGATGTATTTTTTAACCATCACAAAGAAGTTAAAAGTTATCTAGAAGGCCTTAGGCCTTAATTTTTAAAATATTAAAATGTATACGTTGGTTTTTCTTTATAGGACACTTTCAATTGTCATATTTTAAGAATATAGATGAATAAATGTTGACTTGGTCTAGAAATTCCTTTTCAATACTACATATCAAATAATTTTAAAATCAATTTGTTTAGTATAGTTTAAAGAAATTATTATGTGGTATATTTGCTGGTAAAGTGTTTTGTCCTCTTGGAGATCAATTATTATCTCTTGTCATGTTGCTTATAAACTTGCCAAAGGTAGTAAATTATTGTAGGTATTTATAAACTTTGGTATAGTAGATTATTTCCTTAGAGTTTCTGAGATGTCATTTGTTCATATCATCTCTGTTAGGTAACTCACCTCATGCCAAACTCTGGGGTTTCTATATCTTTCATATAACACGGGATAGAAAAAAGATTCCAGTCCTGATATTTTCAGATATATTTGTTTAGATTTTATTTCTATTTGATTATAAGAATTAACTATATAATACATTTGTACAGTTGTGATCCAGTGCTTTATAATAGGCATTACTAATTACCTATAAGTTACTGAGAACTGTTAGAACTCCTGTGTTAATCAGTAAGATCCTAGGTTGCTGTAATTCTTGATTCTCTTGTCCACCTCTTATATATTTATCTTCCCCTGCATTACAGACCATTCAGTCAAATGCGAATAACCAGACACTCAACTAAAGAACATTTAGGAGTTAGAGTATCTTGTCATTATTTTAAAGGTTACTATCTTAATGAAAAATTTCTGACGTTCAAAGAAAAACAAATTATGGATAATGTTCATTTTATATTGATGAGAAAATTTTAAATAATTGTTCTTAAATTGTTGTGAAGAGAAAAAAAATACATTTGCTTTACTCTAGTGTTCTAAGAAATAGGTTGTTCCTTAGTCTAAATTAAAAAGTTTTTTTCTCTGATTCTTCAAGACTCATTTTGTAGACATTTCATCTGTAGTCCTCAGGACTTTGGCTTTATATACACTGTATTTAATCCAGTAAGCCTTCAGTGCAGCATGTGCTCATTCTTATGATAGTCTTCTAACCTGTTCTAGAATATTTTTTGTTGTTTGGTTTTTTACTTTTGATAATTGTCCTTGGCTAACAGAAATAATCTATAAGTCAAAGTCTATGATAAATACAATTAAAATAGAAAGTTATTTATTAGGGACAGAATGTATATTTCTGGCATAACAGATATTTAATTGATCCACTTTTAAAATAGAGATAAAGTTCTTTTTCTTTCTCATACCATGAGAATGAGAGTAATAGTATTTCCTATATAGTAATATTAGTTAACATAGTTTTCTTTTTAAAAATTCATAATGTGGAATTAATAAGGTTATTTTATACTGCTTTATAGTATTAAAAATTGATTAAGAAGTTAGAAGTCGTTAATTCATACATACTTTTTCTTGTGAAAAATGCTTCTTCAAGAAGATTCTGTATGCAATTCCATGTGTTTTTAACTTTGGTAGGTAAATATTTGAAGATTCTGCTTTCTTACTATATTGTGGTCGTATCTATTTTCTGTTTACCATTTCCTTATTATCTAAGCTAAAGAACAGGGACTGTGGTATTTCACAGTCTGGAATGGTATCATTCCAAAATTATTTACGTTTATTTTTTGAAATGTGTTCTTTTTAAAGTGTCCCTGGAACATTTACCTTTTGAATTATTGCTTATGTAGGCAAATTCTGAAAATACTGTAATTTTAATTCTCTTAACTATCCAGCAGTTTAAATTAGTGGTGATTTAGAAATACACTGAGTGTTTCAGAGGAACTAATTTGAATTAAAAATTCATTTATGTCATTATTTTGTTCTGTAACCAAGAAATTTTAATTTTCTCTTTTATGTCTGGATTATCTAAAGCCCATTGAAGGTAACTCTTCTTTAGTACAAAGATACTTAAGTCAAGGCTGACTAAAACCTTTGGAGGATGATAAGGAAGTTTGGGCCCAAAGTCCTAGGGACTAAGATCCCTTCAAACCCTGATACTGACAGCTCCTTCCTGTCCTTTCTTTTAAGCACACCCTCAATAACTGAACTCTTTTTAGGCTCTTTTAATTACAACTGTGTTATGCTAATTGCACTTAACAAACTCTCTGCTATGTATCTTTGACACATATTTGAAGATAGGACTTTGAAGTTCATGTTTTTGCTTTTGTTGCCCACAGAAGCTAACTCAGATTGGACAGTAGTAATACGTTAGTATACCTCCCTTTATCTCCAAACCCAGACAGTTGTCTTCAGCTACTGTTTCTGTTGTCAAATAGAGTATCTCACTGTCTTCTGCCCACACTAGGCTGTCCATGAACGGGTATTAATTTATACCCAAGCTGGAAGTTCATAAAAGGCTTCTTTCTGTCTGAGAAAGGAATTGACTCCTTTTTTTTTTTTTTTTTTTTTGTAATGTGGAACTGGGGTTTGAACTCAGGGCTTTGTGCTTGCAAAGCAGGTGCTCTAAGAGTTGACTCATTTTTAAGGTCCACCAACTCCATGTGTACTATTCGACTGCTTGACCAGTTTTAATTTATTCTCTTCGCCTTAGACCTTAGTATTTCTCTGAAATCCTTGATGGTTGGCTTACTTGAAATGTACTGCTTGCTCTAAACCCCTGGCTTGGCACTACCTTGACTATGCCTTTTCCTTTGGGGAGTCTCATCCAGGCTGTGTTGGTACTTGTAGGATCAGTCTTCAGATTTCCTTTTTTTCCTTTAGGACTTTTAGTTTATCTTTCTTTCTCTTTTTACTCCCTCTCTCTAAAGCAAAATAAAAGCTATATTACTTTTAGATACTTACTAAATACCTTTTAGGTATTCATTAAATCGATGTAATTGAATTATTATTCTTAGTCTCTTAGTCATCTCGTAGAGGTAGAGGAGCTGTTGAATGTCCTAAGGTTAGAAACAGAAAAATGTGTGGTCCAGTATTCAAAACTGGTCCTCAATATGGAGATAATATTTTCTTCCTAATTTTTCATAAGTATTTAAAAAGAAATTTCTTATCATTATAGAAAAAAGAATCTACATGTAGAATATATTAGACTAACGTGCAAGGAATTCATCTTATTTGGCTCTTAGGGAGGAATAAGTTGCAACTTTTATAGTGTGATAGTGAAAAATAAGAATTAGCTTTGTGTGATGTTTGCTGTTGTCATTGTCTTTCTAGGACTGATCATTTCACTCCTAGAAGTGGGTTTTTTTTTCCTACTTAAAGCAACTTTAATTGCAGTTAGATAAGCTGTGATGGAGTGGTGATGCCTCAGGCCTGATTCTAGACAAAAGCTTAGGATGGAAGTACAAGTTACTAGAGAGATACACAAGAGAGTATACTATGATAGAGTTTTTTGATTGTTGCATATTAATTATAGGAAATTTAAAATGGGACTAGATATTTTTTGGTTGAATTAGAAAAATGTAGAGTTGTTTGATTTGTTGTTCTTAAATTCATCTTCAAAGCCTGTCCTCATGGAGTATGTTCTTGGGAGAGCAGCTATTTGTGAATTTCTCAGGGGCACAGTCCATATCCTTCACTTTCACATTTCCATTGAATAGCTTTGTACCTGGTATTTAAAAGGTTCTCAATAAGTGTTTGTTTTAGATTACGCTAAAAGCTGCACCAAGTAGGCACAGTCCTAAAGTAATTTTATTTTGCTTATAAACTTATTGTAGTATGTCTGTGTTCATCACCAGAAGCCTTAACTATAGGAGCGTTTTTTTTAAAGATCTTGGTTGATGATCTGTGTAAGCAGTAAGCAGTGACTTCTATGAGAATTTAAAAACCTAAGGCAAGAAAGACATACAGGCAAAGGAGTAATTTGAAGGAAAACAGCATGGTTCTCAGTTTCTCAGAATCAAGAGCTGTGGCAGAACTTTATGTTGCTGTCATAACCATATCTGCTGTTGTCTCAGATGAGAGGGAGTTTTGGTATGGCAGAAGCTGTTTCTAACTGTGAGCAAAGTAACCAGAAAATGATAGCTGATTTTGAATTAAGCCATTATGTCCTCATGGGAAAAGCAAAACTTCAAATAGTGACTGAAACTAATTTACAGGAAAACATTTTTTTTTCCTGTTTTTTGTCATCACCAGAAGCCTTAACTAATAGGAGCGTTTTTTTTAAAAGATCTTGGTTGATGATCTGTGTAAGCAGTAAGCAGTGACTTCTATGAGAATTTAAAAACCTAAGGCAAGAAAGACATACAGGCAAAGGAGTAATTTGAAGGAAAACAGCATGGTTCTCAGTTTCTCAGAATCAAGAGCTGTGGCAGAACTTTATGTTGCTGTCATAACCATATCTGCTGTTGTCTCAGATGAGAGGGAGTTTTGGTATGGCAGAAGCTGTTTCTAACTGTGAGCAAAGTAACCAGAAAATGATAGCTGATTTTGAATTAAGCCATTATGTCCTCATGGGAAAAGCAAAACTTCAAATAGTGACTGAAACTAATTTACAGGAAAACATTTTTTTTTCCTGTTTTTGCAATGTTGGAGTTTGAATTCAGGGCCTTGAGCTTGCTAGACAGGTGCCCTAACACTCTTGAGCAGATAAAATCTTTTAATATCAGTATTTATGGAATGGGACACATTATTTTCATGTTTATAAAATATGTAAGTAGAGTTGGGAAATCTTTAAGGTTTCTTTTATTACTCTCCAGTTAACTTCACATAGATTAAAGAAGAAGGTATTTTTAAACATAGAGCTCTCTAATAAGTCATTTAGCAAATGTTAATCAGGCATTATCTTGAGACTGGGAATACAACAGTAAGCATCAAGGATACCCTCTCCGTTTTCCCAGATCTAGTTTGATGGAGACATAGAACAGCAGTTAATTACAAAATAGTGGGATAAACTAATACAGATGTATAAGGTGCTATGGGGGTGTAGGTGAAGGATTCTTAAGAACAAACACGTGAGGTTAGAGAAGGCTTCCTGGTGAAAGTGATTTCTTACCTGGAATCTGAAGGTTATAGAAGTGAGCGAGACTAGGAAAATAGGAGACTGTTGTAGTCAGGAAAAAAAATAGGTGAAGACCTGCAAAGTGAGAGAAAGAAGTTTAGTATGCCAGGATCAACAATAATTCTGTGCATATGTGTGTTGGGGAAGCATTTATGACTGATAATTGAGATTGATTAGTCAAGTTAGAGGCAGATAATTTTTTTTGGATGTTTATTGGGAATAAATATACATTCCCTCCTGAATATAATTATTAACTAGAAGTAAGAAATTGATAATGTCTTTGTTTTTCTATTATTGAAAGAACCTGGTAGACAAAGTGATAGATCATATTTAGGGAAGTAGTTTTGTATTTTTACACTAGCCTTTTTTTGTTTGTTTGTTTGGTGGTACTGGGGTTCGAACTCAGAGGGTCTTGCGCTTGCTTTGCAAGTGCTCTACTGCTTGAACCACACCTTCAGCCCTTTTTGCTTCAGTATTTTTTGGATGGGGTCTCCTGTTTCTGCCTGGGGTAACTCTAGACCATGATCCTCCTACCTGTGGCCTCCTCTGTAGCTGGGAGGCTGTGCCACCAGGCCCAGCATATTGATTGGGATGGGGTCTTGCTAACTTTTTTGCCTGGGCTGGCCTCAAACCATGATCCTCCCTCCTGATCTCCACCTCCCAAGCAGCTGGGATTGTAGATGTGAACCACTTTGTCTGGCTTTAGAAAAGAATTATTAGAGTATATTACTTATGCAAAGGGATTTCATTGTGATAATTCCATATATGCATATAATGTACATTGATCATATTCACCCTTTCTATTACTCTTTTCCTCCCTCCCTCTTTAAAAACAATTTTAATGGGATTCATTATGCTATTTACGTACATGCATATAATATGCTTTGATCATATTTACCCCCTAACCCTCTCTTTTTCTCTTCTTGCTTTATCCCACCCAAAAACAGTCCCCCTTTTACATTTATGCACTTGACAATTTTGTGTATAATCTCATGTCTACACACTGAGATTATTTTATGCTTTAAATCGGCTACTATATACTTTCTATTTAAATCTTCAGTTGGATTTTTAAGTTAAACAGATTTCTAAATTCCTCTTTGATATTTTTTGACTGTTTCTGGAGGCATAATTGAATCTCTAGTATAGTCCAACATGTCTTATAATTTAGAATCAGTGTGCATAATTTTCCTTTTTTTCCCTTGCTACTAGGTATTGTACTCAACTACAGTTCCTAAGAACTATTATGTAGTTCAATTAGGAAAGCTTAGCCAAAGCATTTTTGTCCTTTGCCTGCCTCTCCTAGTTTGTTAATCACTTATTTAGGGACACTTAAGTCACATTGATTAGTAAAGCCTTGCAAATCAATTCTGCTAACTTAACTATTGTGCAAAGACCTGTAGGAAGTAACAACAAAAGACCTTTCATTTGTGTTTTATTCCTGTTGGATGTTTTATTATAAAGATTGGATGCTTGTTGCTATTTATTTTTTTCTGTGCCTTTTGGTCTTCTTCTGTTATATGCTTATGTTCCCTAGATCAGTAGTATTTCTTCAACAAATAATTATTGAATATTATTAGAATTGAGTTCTTTATATTTATAAATAAGGTAGGCTGAGTCTTGACTGCGTTGAGAGTTTGGAACAAATTGAACCAGTAATTATATTGATAATTAATTACAATTGGGATAAGAGTTCTGAGGGAGAAAGGCCTTGAATAAACTTACAGTGTTATCAAGAGGCCTAAGCAGAATTCAGAATTATCTCTTAGTATGGACAGAGATTCTCTACTGTCATATTAAAAAGCTGTAATCCCATGTTGGTTAAGAGCCTGAAGTAACGTACACTGAATTTAAAAAGAAAAGTCATAGTTAGTCTTGTGATACAGTTACCTTTAATTAATTGGGAAAATCTGTTGAAAAACTCTTCATTCATTTTCTAATTCAGAAAAGAACTGGGAGAATCTGGCAAGAGGTTTGGCAGGAAATGACAGCAAACATTTTCCTGCCTTACCCTAGACCTGTTGAGTCAGAATCTCTAGGGTTAAGGTTACATACATCTTTATTCCCAACCTATTATTAGGATCAACCACATGTTAGAACCACTGCTTAGGGGTATCCCAAGAATTGATTGGCTATTGACGTAGAAAGAGGGCATTAATTTGAACTGTCCAGAAATGCCAAAGGATAGTAGGATTTTGCTTAGAACTTAGTTTATAATTTAATTCTAAATATAGAAATTGACAATGCTTGTATTTTACCTTCAGAGAGTTAACTGTTCTTGGATTGTCAGCAGTGGTTGCCTAATTTAAAAGTACAAATTAAAGTTACTTTTTGTGCTAATTTTTCCTTTCTTTGTCTCTCCAGGAACTAAACAACTTAAGCATATTTTATTAAAAGATGTGGACACTATTTTTGAATGTAAATTATGCCGCAGTCTCTTCAGAGGATTACCAAATTTAATTACCCATAAGAAATTTTACTGTCCACCAAGTCTCCAGATGGATGACAGTAAGTTTTATCAGATATCCAATTAGGCATTTTGTAGTTAACTATTCTTTTACTGCCACTATATATTTGCATTAAAATGATACTACTATCTAGTTATAGATAAGTTAATAATGGTGTACAAAATTAAATACTTAATGAATGTTATATTCAGTTTCTTAGGTAAGTACTTTTATATCAATGTTTTCTACATAGTTTTTTCTAGATAATAACAGGTTAATTTATGAGTATATTCATTTATTTTAAAATATTGTTTTTGAATGTTTATATGGGCCATATAGTTTATATTTAGAACATTTTTAAGAAGAAACTTTAATACTGTGTGGAGGGAGCAATTACTTGGTATTTTTCTTTTTTTACTACTTTTTTTTTGGCAGTCCTGGGGTTTAACTCAGGGCTTCATACTTGCTAGGCAGGCACTGAGCCATGACGCCCCAGTCCTTTTTGCTTTAGTTAATTTGAGGTAGGGTTTCACTTTATGTATTATTTTCTTGCTTTAATGAGTTAATGTAAATTCTTTCAAACATACTAATAATAGATTACTTACTTATTTCTTGTTCAGGGATTTAAATTATTCTAATTTTGTTGTAGAGAGAGTATAAGCAATAATAGGAAGGAACAAGGGTTTTTGCTGGTTGAGATAAGGATAGCTATACAGGGCATTGACTCACATTGATTTCCTGTGCGTGGGTGTTACCTTCTAGGTTAATTCTTTTTGATCTAACCTTTTCTCTAGTACCTGTTCCCCTTTTCCTATTGGCCTCAGTTGCTTTAAGGTATCTGCTTTAGTTTCTCTGTGTTAAGGGCAACAAATGCTAGCTAGTTTTTTAGGTGTCTTACCTATCCTCACCCTTCCCTTATGTGCTCTCGCTTTTATCATGTGCTCATAGTCCAATCCCCTTGTTGTGTTTGCCCTTGATCTAATGTCCACATATGAGGGAGAACATATGATTTTTGGTTTTTTGAGCCAGGCTAACCTCACTCAGAATGATGTTCTCCAGTTCCATCCATTTACCAGCGAATGATAACATTTCGTTCTTCTTCATGGCTGCATAAAATTCCATTGTGTATAGATACCACATTTTCTTAATCCATTCGTCAGTGGTGGGGCATCTTGGCTGTTTCCATAACTTGGCTATTGTGAATAGTGCCGCAATAAACATGGATGTGCAGGTGCCTCTGGAGTAACAGTCTTTTGGGTATATCCCCAAGAGTGGTATTGCTGGATCAAATGGTAGATCGATGTCCAGCTTTTTAAGTAGCCTCCAAATTTTTTTCCAGAGTGGTTGTACTAGTCTACATTCCCACCAACAGTGTAAGAGGGTTCCTTTTTCCCCGCATCCTCGCCAACACCTGTTGGTGGTGTTGCTGATGATGGCTATTCTAACAGGGGTGAGGTGGAATCTTAGTGTGGTTTTAATTTGCATTTCCTTTATTGCTAGAGATGGTGAGCATTTTTTCATGTGTTTTCTGGCCATTTGAATTTCTTCTTTTGAGAAAGTTCTGTTTAGTTCACATGCCCATTTCTTTATTGGTTCATTAGTTTTGGGAGAATTTAGTTTTTTAAGTTCCCTGTATATTCTGGTTATCAGTCGTTTGTCTGATGTATAGTCCTTGCCAACATTTTTCAAGTTAACCTTTTTAGAACAGAATAAAATGCAAACTCCAGATATCAAAGTACTGCTTTAATTATTACCACGAAGGTGGCTTCAAATGTATTATACGGTAAAGGTTTGACAAATATTTCATATTTGCCTAGAAATATTTCCAATTACAATTTGATCTTACTAAACTTCTTTTCATCATTGAGCTATAAAGTAAAAGGTAGTCTGTAGAAATTAGCTCATAATCTAACCTTTTAGTTAAAATACTACTAGAAAATTAATTTCTTAGTAGTTACTCCTTTTTTGGACTTAGGTTGAAATGTTAAAGAGTAAAATAGATAAATGGATTTGCCACATTGTACATTCTTCTTGTTAATTCTGTGAATACTTGTATGAAGGTATTATCACATTATTTTACCCATTTTTAAAAGAAAGTTTTCTAGAAGAGTTATAATGAGAATTGTTTATTTCTAAATAGGTAATAGATTTGGTGATGAATGTGGAAACATAGCATATGTTGGATAACTCTGTTGTAGTAGGCTATTTAGTTGCTTCTAGAGGGCGTAACTATTGTACAAATGAGTAAAACCAGCTCTGTTTTTTAAAATAAATCTATAAACCATTTGTTTTAGTAAAACTGTCACATTAAGACATACAGTAGGATTAGATTTAGCAAATACTTCTATACATCATGCCATTCATATTTATATAATTGCTTACAGACAAGTTCTTTTTCATTTCTGTAAGATGTTGAAATATCCCCAGATGATTATACCATATTATTTATTAAGGCTTAATAGGAATAGTGTTATATTTTATTTAAAAAATCATTTTTATTTATATAATAATATTCCTCATGATATTTTAGTTATCTTGGATTATGAGAGCTTCGAGTTGCTTTTGCTAGTCTAAAACTTTGAACTAAAAACATGCAATACCGTTTTTATTGTATAGGATATTCACGTGCTTATATATTTTAAATAAAGGCACTTGGAAGTGAAAGTATCTCTTTAGCATATGCCTTCCTTAACATATATATGATGAGAATTTGAATCAATACAAATTTTAGTTTAGCTAATGCTAACTTTTATGTTCATCAAACACTGAAAAGTAGATTATGCTCTTATAAAAATAAATATGCAAAATGTCACAACATACCCCCACTACAATAATAAAAAATATGCACCAGTAATATAATAAATTTAAGTTTCATAATATATTTTAAGGTACTAGTGAGCTCTAGAGTCCAATTATTTCAGATTAAAATCTTATTTTTTTCCTTAACAGACCTTCCTGATGTAAATGATAAACAAAGCCAAGCCATAAACGATCTCCTAGAAGCCATATATCCAAGTGTGGACAAGCGAGAATATATTATTAAACTAGAACCCATAGAAACTAATCAAAATGCAGTGTTTCAGTATATTTCAAGGACTGATAATCCTCCAGAAGTCACAGAGTCAAGCAATACTCCTGAACAAACTGAAGTTCAAATACAGGAAACTAACACGGAACAGTCTAAAACAGTACCAGTTACAGACACAGAGGTGGAACCTGTTGAGCCTCCTCCTGTCGAGAGCATTGCAGATGAAGTTGTGCCTACATCTGATGAACAACCTCAGGAATCACAGACTGATTTGGAAACATCTGACAATTCTGATTTTGGTCACCAGTTGATATGTTGCCTTTGTAGAAAAGAATTCAATTCTAGACGAGGTGTTCGTCGGCACATTCGAAAAGTACACAAGAAAAAGATGGAAGAACTGAAAAAGTATATTGAAACACGAAAGAATCCAAACCAGTCCTCTAAAGGGCGCAATAAGAATGTTCTAGTTTCATTAAGTAGGAGTTGTCCAGTATGTTGTAAATCATTTGCTACAAAAGCGAATGTAAGGAGGCATTTTGATGAAGTTCATAGAGGACTAAGGAGGGATTCAATTACTCCTGATATAGCAACAAAGCCTGGGCAGCCTTTGTTCCTGGACTCTGTTTCTCCTAAAAAATCTTTTAAGACTCGAAAACAAAAGTCGTCTTCAAAGGCTGAATACAATTTAACTGCATGCAAATGCCTCCTTTGCAAGAGGAAATATAGTTCACAAATAATGCTTAAAAGACATATGCAAATTGTCCACAAGATCACTCTTGCTGGAACAAACTCTAAAAGAGAGAAAGGCCCTAATAATACTGCCAACAGTTCAGAAATAAAAGTGAAAGTTGAACCAGCAGATTCTGTAGAATCTTCACCCCCTTCCATTACCCATTCTCCACAGAATGAATTAAAGGGAACAAATCATTCAAATGAAAAAAAGAACACACCGGCAGCACAGAAAAATAAAGTTAAACAAGACTCTGAAAGCCCTAAATCAACTAGTCCGTCAGCTGCAGGTGGCCAGCAAAAAACCAGGAAACCAAAACTTTCAGCTGGCTTTGACTTTAAGCAACTTTACTGTAAACTTTGTAAACGTCAGTTTACTTCCAAACAGAACTTGACTAAGCACATTGAGTTGCACACAGATGGAAATAACATTTATGTTAAATTCTACAAGTGTCCTCTCTGCACTTACGAAACTCGTCGGAAACGTGATGTGATACGACACATAACTGTGGTTCATAAAAAGTCATCTCGCTATCTTGGGAAAATAACAGCCAGTTTAGAGATCAGAGCTATAAAAAAGCCTATTGATTTTGTTCTAAATAAAGTGGCAAAAAGAGGCCCTTCGAGGGATGAAGCAAAACATAATGATTCCAAACACGATGGCACCTCTAACTCTCCTAGTAAAAAGTATGAAGTAGCTGATGTTGGTATTGAAGTAAAAGTCACAAAAAACTTTTCTCTTCACAGATGCAATAAATGTGGAAAGGCATTTGCCAAAAAGACCTATCTTGAACATCATAAGAAAACTCATAAGGCAAATGCTTCCAATTCACCTGACGGAAACAAAACCAAAGGCCGAAGTACAAGATCTAAGGCTCTTGTCTGGTGAGGAATAGTTACAGAGTTTTGCTTTTTTCCCCATCGAACTAAAGAAAAAATGATTTGACCATTAATTTATAGCTGGTTCCATTTTAGCACATACTTGCTTCCATATATATTATGGCAAGGGGAACTGCAAGAGTTACGTGCATATTGCATTTATCTCTTCAGTGACCTTTATTCCAGTGGCTGGGGAACAAAAGTTAACTTCAGAACTTATCTTCTAGAGGAAAATGCAGTATAGTTATAGGTAGATGGCACAGGGTTAGTGCTTTCCTCTTAATGTTATAAAATATATACATTTATTTTGGCAAATGTTTACAATAGAAATCTTGTGTTTAACTTTGCACAGGTTTGATTTAGTGACTTAGTCTATTAATTAATGCATTGTAGGAAAGAGATGAGAATGAATTTGTGAAGGCGGTACTTATAGGAAAGATTTTTTTTAAGGCACTGTAATTATTGTAAAAATTTGTGAAGGCTAAAGTGCTGCACTCAGAAAAAATCCCCTAAATTAAATTTAGAATGATTAGAATTTAATAATTTACTTCTAACACAATGCTTCCAGGCAAAGGGGGAAAGTTGGTAAACAAAAGTTTGGATTTCTTTTTCTTCTTGGATATGTGTGTTAGTGATGTTTTTTTAGTTTTGATCTGTAGAAACATCATTTAGGTCCAGATAGTAAACACAGGGGTGTTTAAACTTTTTGGTGATCATTTCAACATGGTTAATATTGTTAAGAAAGGATTTTTTTTTGAGTGGTTGTGCATTGCAGGAAAAGTAAAATCCCTGTTTGGAAGAAAGAAAAGTAATACTTTTTACTGAAGGTTTTGGAACAAATATAGATGTTTAAAATGCAGTATAAAATAAGGAGTAGACTCCCTATACTTGTTTTTGCAGATCTGTATATTTTTAAGTTATCTATTTCTCTTGTATTAAGGCATTTAATATATTTAGTGAGTATTAAATTAGTTTTACATTCAGATTCTGATGCAAGATACTTTTAGTGCTTAGTAGGTTAAATGTTGGGGTTTGATTATCACACATTTTTAAAACTTGTGTGGAAAACTTGAGATGAAACTATCCTTTAGAAGTCATTTACTATTGTGTAATTTAAGACCAAGATTTTATTGGTAAACTCAAAAGTGTTCATTTATTCCCATTTCTCCTCAGATAACTTCAAGTGATGTGCGAAAAGGTTTGGAGTTCATTTTTGTGGAAAGACTTTAAATTATTGTTAGAACCACTAAACGTCATCACATGGTACTATGAGGAAAAAAAGAAAAACATTTTCATAAATTTTCAACTGTTAACTGCTGTTTTCTGACAAAAATAATAACAACCTAACTAGTTTCTAAGGCAATGCCTATTCCAGCACTTTTAAGTAGCTGGGACATTACCTATTGTCATCATAGTCCTTCAGCTAGCCACCTTGACCTTGTGCATTTGGTCTACAGTTTCTGCAAAAATGTTGTGATTTCATTTTTCCATATAATTTGTTGATTAAAATGGTCAACAACCTGGGGAAAATAATAGTTTTTAATTGACAGAGACTATATTTTTAGTGATTTAAGTTTTGTTTCAGTTTATTTGGCAAAATTTTCATCTGGATTGTACAGATACATGATTTTCTAGTGAGTATATTTTAGGAACAAAAGACAAATTAGTATCAACACATTATAAATATTTAGCCTATTAAATATTTGTAATCATTTTTATATCCATTTATTTCTAACTTGTTCACCAGCACTTAAATGTTTTAAAGTTTCGCTCTAAAATACATACTACAAGAAAGTTCCAGCTCATTTTAATGCATGGATCATTACATTTTTCATTTGTAAACATCTGAGGTTTTTATGAGAATTAAACATTCCCCTATTTTTCTTTAAATTTTATATAAAGCACTTTAATGATAGATGCAACCTTATTTTTCAGTTTCTACTTTTTTTTTAAAGACCACACATTTACTAATGTTTATATGAAGGTAGTAAAAAGCTTGCTGATATTTTATGGATGCGGACAATCCATACACAACCACTTCTTATGTTACTATTTTATTTCTTTATTGCTAAAAAAGGAAGGTGGAGGTATAAACCCTGATTTTTTCCCTCCCAAGAAAAAATTTAAATGACCACTTTAGATAATATTTGATTCTTACTGTAAAATTTAGAAAATAATGAATTTTTGTCCACTTTTGTAATCAAGATTTTAGGAAAAAAGTACATTTATCTCTGAAATTTTGGGCAATTTTTTGTGTATCAATATTTTGTAATTTTTAGGGAATATTTTATTTTTTAGTAATTTGTGTCAAATTATAATTTTAAAAGGTACAGCAGAAAATATACCATGTTTTTATTATAGGTTCACACCTGTACTAAGAATGGACCCTGTCCATCTATATATACTTTTTGTATAAAATTTTAAAATGTTGAAGATTCAGAAGGTCATAATAAAATGCTTCTATAGGTAGAAAAACATATACCCTTTTCAGTGCTTTGCACTAAAATATACTGTGAAAGGAAATTAGAAAGACTGTAATTGTTGCTGGAAATGTTCTATATTGAATGTACATGTTGATGTTGGAAAAATGTACTATATGTGATGGAAATAAACCAGATGCGAAGTTATTTCAGCTAAATGTGCTTCAACAAAGGTGCATTGGTTGAAACTTAAATGTTTTATTTTCACATTTAAACTTATTCAGTGACTATGAGCAGCTACACTTGAATTAAATCTTAATAGTTTTATTTTTAAGAAGTAGAGTAATGATTTCTCTTTAATTTAATACAGATTACTTTTCCACAGATGGAAATTTGTACTTATAGGTTTAAATTTAATGACTAATAGCATAATATATTTAGGAACTAAATGTGTAGGTGGTGTTTCATTTATAAACCATCTTCATTAGTTGCACATTATTAAACCTGTATTTTTGACTTTTGCAAGGTGTTATCTTTTTATGCATTCCTACATACAAGACATACTCTATCTTGGCCTTTTCTAATCTGCTTTACTTGTTAAATACTGTAGGGAAGAAAGAAAAATAGTCTGATGAAGGAGCAGAGGCCAAGTTGCTGGAAATCCCTTACCTTTACCCACTGTTTTCATCGACCTTTCATTGTTCGTTTCCTCCTTAGTAATTCTTGAGCCACAGAATGGGACTTCAGAAGGAGAAAATGAGGGCTCTGTGGATTGTCAGATTTCATGTGGTTCATAGAAAAAATATATTGTGTTAGGACTTGACTAAACTAGAGGGGCCTAGAGAGTGGGAACATTTTATCATGATTGGGATCATGGCAGACACAACAGAGGCTTAACTGGGACCAGTATTGAAAGGTAGAACAAACAAGAAGTTGGAAAGTATTTGTTCTTTCTATTCCCTTATGATTGTCACCCTTACTTTTTGGTTTTATTTAGACTCTTCAGCTCTTGTCATTTCAGAGCTTCAACCTTGAGGCTCTTGAGGACAAGAAGCTTAAGAAATTTGTGGCAGAAGTTTTCCTGCAATGGTTATATGAACAAGTGTTTATGACTGTTGTAGCAAGGATTAATTGAGTAGACAAAGAGCCATTAGAAACTGCTTATTTTACATTAATATCTATCACTGGTTATAAAATTATATTTACTTTTGCGGCTATTTGATCAATTAAGAGTTTTTCTAAGCTGGGTTTGATGGTGCATGCCTGTAATCCCAGCACTCAGGAGACTGATGGAGGAGGATTACAAATTACTGGCTAGCCTGGGCTATGTAGGAAGACACTGTCTCAGAAAACAAAAACAAAACAAAAAAAGTGTTTTTCTATAGAATTTAGCTTATCTTCCTTCCTAAAGATGCCTTCCATTCCTCCACATGAGGGAAGAAGAGAAACAGTAGTAAACATAGCTTTGTACTTACTTCAACTTCATAAATTTGGGTAGTGCAAGTGAGAGCTGGATGAGGTCTGCCTGACAATGGGCAAATGTTCATTAGAATGTACAGATAATCTTGAATATAAAACCTTTTTGTGGTTTGTGGTTCTATTTTTCTTTCTCGTAATCCTTACTTTAAGAAGAAAACCTTTGAAAATATATATGTCATCCATCCTTAATTTTTATCCTAGTTTTGCTTATATGAGCTAAGTTTTGGTTGACCCATGCTGTTTTTACTGTTGAAAAATACCATGACAGTTTTTAAGGAAAACATTTGTTATATTGCTTTATGGGCAGTAGTTTGCTCTACTGAATTTGCTTTAAAACTGTATTCAGTAGCAAAAAGTTTTGTGGCTTTGCTATGGCTTAAAGTTGTAAGTATAGAAAGAAGAGTTTTCCTCCAGCTGTTATGGCAAATATGAGAATAGGCACAAGTGGATATCATTCCCTGTTGTGAAGTTTAGCATGACAACTGAAAATAAGAAAAAAAATCCTAATCTTTTTGAAATTAGGTTTCTAGGTTTCATGCAGTTGTCCTCCTTATTTTGGAGTTGTAGAAGTTATTTCTCTATTGAAATCCATAGTCTGTGAGGATTATGATTTAGCCATAGTTGATCTGAAACCAATTTGTAGGATATATGCAGCATGATAGTGGCTGTGCTCTTAGACAAAAATCCTTCTGTATTCTATGCTATTCTTTCTCCTTTCTGTGACTTTTAAGAGTTGAAAAGAGTGAGGATCAGCAGTTTTAGGAGCAGCTTTTAGTTTGGTTTCTAATGCACATGGTAAAACGCAGCATAAAACATGTTTCACTTAACCAACATTTATTTTGGCTCATCTAACTTTACAAATTCATTGCTTCTCTCTCATAATTTGTTTCTTTATCCTTTTCTGATGAATTTCCAGCTCTTACAGTCTCCTTTCCTCTTTTGTTTAATTAGATCATTAATATCAAAATAGCAAAAACTTTTTGGGGAAAGGTAAGAGTATGGAAAGTGCAGTTCATTTTCTCCTGACTCTATTGCTCCACATTGGATTTGAGAGGAGTATTATTTTTAGGCTTCTTTGTTTATATATTTTTGACACCACACCACCAG